GAGGCCACTTTCGGACCTTCTGGAAGTTTGTGGACTTGGCCTTTCGGGACTGTAGCAGCTACGACTTTGACCTTTCAGGACTGTAGCAGCTACGACCTCTACACAGCTGTGACCCCTAATTGACAGACCTACAGATCGAACCCGTACAGCTACATAGACCTACGGTAGACAACAGTCAACTACCAAAACACAGGTCACAGGTTCAAACACACAGGGGTCGACTCGATATTGTACGCGGGTGTAGAAGGTGTAGGGATCAAACCCTGGTATCTGCATCTGTTACTGCTAAAGTGAAAAACCGTTTCACTCCCGCCGGCCTTAATTCGAGGTTATCCGAGAATACTTCAGTCCAAGGTGGGACCTTTACCTTTCCTATTTGTCTCATAGGCGCGGACTATATCTGGAGTTGTCTCTAGAATCTTTGTTCGGATAAACCAGCGATTGTCTTCAGGTTCTTGATTGGAGAATCCGACTTTGTAATGTTTTTTGTGGAACGCCTCTACCTCCCGTTTTGAAGGCATCCTCATCTATTATGCGATCAATGTCGTACCTTCCATCCATATCTGGAGGAATCATAGATCTCCGTGATGGGAACTGGTGTCTCGTGGTAGAAGGCAACAACTTTGATGCATGAAAACTGGGTAGGTGTGGAGGTGTGCTGGAATCTCTATGGTGTAGGACGATCCATTTTCTCCGCCTTTGACTTCTAGGATTGGCCACGGTCCTCTGTAAGCGGGTAACAATTTTTGTGAGATGTTCTCCTCAGGAGCAAACTCTTTAGACTTGACCCAGACTAAGTTGCGTACTCGGAGCTGTGAAGGGCGACGATGCTCATTGGCTTGCTCTATTATTCGGTGCTGGGCCTTCTTGAGGTTATCAACTACGGTAGCAATCTCATTTTCGTGTTGTATTGCAAATTCCCTAGTACCTGGCGGTAGCCTCTGAACCTGATCCCGGTTCAGTCCTTCAAACGGTCTGCGGGGTCTAAAGGACTTACGCAACTCGTTGGGAGTGCGACAAATAACTAAGTGCAGGCTATTATTATAGGCGCTGGCTACCTTTGGGAGCATCTCATCCCAGTTAACTTGGTCAGGTCTAATATACATTTTGAGAACCTGCTGCAAGATTTTGTTCATCTGTTCAGTCTGACCGTTGGTCTCTGGGTGAAGTCCAAATGACATCAACAACTTAGAGCCATAGTCTCTCATCTACTGTTGCCAGTTCTGAGTGGTGAACCTAGTATCTCTGTCTCTAAGTATGGACAGAGGAACACCATGCTCATTGACCCAATGGTCGAAAAAGTTTGGTATTATTGGATTTGTACGTGCCTTTGAGGGCCAGGAACAAGAACTACATATTTGCTACATCTATCAACTATGATCATGACTTGGCTTTTGCCATGCCTACTCCTGACACTTGTGTCCATAAAGTCCGTGGACACAAAATCTCCGGGTCCTCCGGGAATAGGCAAGGGTCTGAGAAGACCTAGAGGGGCTCGCGTAGTGGTCTTATTCCTTTGATAAACCTTACAACTGGGTACATACTCTATGCGATAGGCATTCATACCAGGCCAAGTATACCCGCACATGAGGTTGGCTAATGTTTTTTGCCAACCAAAATGTCCCTCTGTATCATGGCATTCCCCGAGGATCATACTTCGGATCTCTTCATTGTTAGGAATGCACAATTGGTCCTGCGGTAGTCGGGTTCTAAGTCTTGGGCCTCCGTAAGCCTCTTGAGAAGGTCCTTATAAATAGGGTCTTGACTGTTTGTTGCAGGTCTCTCCCTATATCCAGACAATACACTATTGCTCCGAAGCAGTCCGCTCTCCTACTTAGGGCGTTCGCAACTACATTGTATTTTCCCTTGACAGGCTTGAGCTCAAAGTCGTATTGATCTATCTCTGCGGCCCACCTAGTAAGCTTAGGTGTGATCTTGGCCTGCGTTTTCAGCCACAATAACGTTTCGTGGTCTGAATATACTTTGAAGTGCCTCCCAAGCAAGTAGTGCTTCCAGTGATCCAACGCTTGCCTGAGAGCGTAGAGTTCCCTCTCATAGGTGGATGTTGCTACCTTTTCCGAAGGCATTTTAGCAGACATGAACTCTACGGGTTTATATCCATTGCCGTCGTCTTGCTGTAAAACAACATCTATACCGTACTAACTTGCATCAGTGGTAACAACGAAAGGCAAAGACGGATCAACTACCTTGAGGATTGGGTACTCTATCAAAGCCCGCTTTAACTTCTTTAGGGCTGATGTACAATCTTTATTCCACTTCCAGATTGCCTCTTTCTTTAGCAACCTGCGAAGGGGAGCAGTGATGGTGGGAAAGTTTCTGACGAACTTTCTATAGTAATTTGCCAACCTTAGGAACGACCACAACTTGGTCAACGTGCGGGGAGCTGGCCAGTCTCTAATCGCTACTATCTTACTATCCTCAGGCTTTATGCCATCTCCATCTAGAATGTGGCCGATGTATAAAACCTGCGTCTTGGCCCACTCACTCTTCTTCGCGTTGATGGTAGTTAGCTTCTCTCAGCTTCCCCAAGACTTGCCTTAGATGACTCTCATGCTCCTGGAGGGTCTTACTAAAGACTAGGATATCATCTAGGTATACTACCACGAATCTATGTAACCATGGCCTGAATAGATCATTCATACAACGCTGAAATGTAGTTTGCGCATTGGTTAGTCCAAAGGGCATTAGTGCCCATATGTGGTCCTAAACGTCGTCTTGTACTGATCATCAGGATGGAACTGATGATAGCTTGACTTCAAGTCTATCTGAGAGAAGTATTTGCAGCCTTGCACCTGATCTAGCAGACCCCTATAGTCAATGCACATTTTTAACTCTCCCTCCTTCTTGGGGACAAACAGAACAAGAGCTCCGAAAGGGAACCCTTCTCGAGGAGCTCGTCTAACTGCTTGCGCAACTCCTGGGGACATTCGATACATTGTTCCTTTGGGAGTTCTACTACCAAAATCTATCTCAATACGATGTTGGATCAGCCGCGATACTATTGTAGGCGGTTCAGACAGATCTGTATATTCCTCTAAGAGCTTGGCAATACGAGGGTCTATGGACTCTTCGGTTTTAGGTTCAGTGACTGGCCTTACATAGGCTATAGGGACTTGTTTTTCTAGTTGCTCCTTCACTAGCCTTGCGAATGTAGGAGCGTTGAGGCAACAATGTGCTAAGGGGTTGTCTACCCTTGACACACGAAACAGGCGAGCAGTCTTAACTCCACTTGTTGGACTAGGGAGCCTACACTCATGCTCTCTCAAGTGGAGTGTGGCCCTTGCTGCCTCTCCCTAGTCCATACCTAGGACTGTATCAAATGGGAGATTATCTTCTACGAGGCGAGTCAGGGAATGGAAAACTTTCTCTACTTCCCGTCTTTCTCTAGGCGGAAGTATGCCTGGAGTCCCTCGACATAATCCTCGACACGCATGGTGCAATTGTATGTGAGGATGCTGACTATAGGTTCCACTAGCTTTCAGACCTTTAAATTCAACTTCAGTTTCTGTAGCGCTTTATGATTGATATAACTATGGGTGGCCTCATTGTCTATAAGGGTCCCTACTCGACCTTTGAAAACATCTACATCTACCAACACTAGCTGTCCTTTTCCATCTTTCTTCATTTTGGCCTAGGCAGGCATCCTCTACTTCAACTCTTCTGCCACGCCTGTGAGCGAAGTGCCTAGACAGACCCTAACACAAGTAGTTTCTGGACAGCTATCTAGGCACTGGCCAACAACCTTTGCCATAGACACATGTGGTTTGGGAGTTTCTCTATAGTGCGTGCACTCTTCTCCACATGGTTTAGACTTAAGGGCAACGAGCCCTACTGGCGGTTGCCTTTTGCTGCCTGCGCAACATATCAGGCCTTTGTATACTTTGGGCAGTATTTAACAATATGCCTTGGATCACCGTAATAGATGCATTGATCCCGATCTATCCTTTGCTCCCATACTTTTTGATCAAGGCCCAGATCTTCCCAGGGCCTACCTTGTGGCAAGCCAGGGTGCCATCCACCCTTTTTGGGAGGTGATCGACTGTAACGAGGACGGTTTTGCAGGGGATCTTGATGCCTGCCTCCCTCTTCGTGGTTTCCCCTGCCGCCAACTCCCTGATCATCCTGCCCTCGACCACCAGAAGTCGGGCTCCCTTGGCCCGGACCTCCTCTTCCTTGCGGCCTCCCTCCAGTCGCGACGACAACATAGGATCACCCCTGACCCACACTCTTGTCTTCCTCCTCGAGGTCATTCAATCTTGCTATACGGGACCTCCGCCATTCCTCCTTCATCTAATGTCAGATCAACCTGTTCTGAAATGGTCTGGCCTTTCCACTTCTTACCTTTGTCAAGATCTTTATGCCGAAAGGTAGCAAGTGGCATGGATTGAGCCTCATAAGCAACGATGTCGCGACTCAATTTATCATAGGTCATCCCCTTGCTCTCATGACTTATCGTAGAAACGCCCGTGCAAACTCTCGGGCATTGCATGATAGAACAATTTAACCAACTGTGGCTCAGTGACCCCATGGTTAGGGACAGCGACAAGCTCATCCATGGCGCCCTTGAGTGACCGCACACTCTTCCACTGACGTGTGTGGATTGTTTGGAGCTTGTTTGACACTTTAATTCCCCTAGTTACATACGCGAATCGTTCGCGAAGTAACTCGAGGAATTCATTGAGGGGAGTGGTGGTGGAATATGCCACCATGTCGTTGTCACATTTGGCGGCGCGGGCCAATGACCTGGCGAAGCTAGAAGCTTCGTCTCTAAGGGCATGGAATGCGACGAGGACTTGCTCCTCAGGGATAATATCTTGGAGGTGCACGAAGCAGTTAATGTTTGCCTCCCAATTATCAAAATCTTCTCCTTGTTTCCTGCTGTAGGTGTCAGGAAACTTCACCTTTACCCTTTCCCTATGAGCGTGCCTCCTCCTCCTTTGGGACTGCGAGCTTGGCGCCCTCTATAGCCCTCACACAAATTTTTTCTGTGTTCTTCATTCGGGCCTGCATTTCAGAGCCCATACGCATCATCATATCATGAGCAAAGTCTCAAAAACCTACTCTTATGGACTGTAGAGCTATGTCATGCCCCTTTGAGAAATGCATTTGTTCCTGCTGGACGCGAATAAGCACATCTACACTCTTTGCAATAGCATCCACTTTGTTTTGCAAGTCCCCTTGGGCCAGGGCATTAGCATGCTGCTCTGCTGTGGCAGCTAACTTCTCCAACTCTGTAGCCACTTCAATGCGCCTTCTCCTCTGTCGTCTCAGCCGCAATATCCATTCCATTCTCTTTTCGTCTTCTAGGGCCTGCCATTGTGAAGGGTTTGTTAGGGCCTGTATCTCTGCGTCAACATCCCTCTTGTCCTGGGGGATATACATAAACGTGTTCTCGTCTTTTCGCAGGGAGAAGTTGGCCACCCACTCTGACACCATCTTCGCCAGTTTCTTCTCCTCCTTACTAGTCCCACTGGATTCCCCTCTTTCCCCTCTCCTTACATTCCTCACCAGGGGTATGTCCTCTTCCTCTTCTTCTTCTTCTTCTTCTATTGCCTTAAGCTTATCCTCTTCCCTTTTCAATCTCTCCATTTCTTTTTCACGCTTTTTCTTCTTCGCCGCCTGCTCCTCCAATAAGGCCTGCTTCTTGGCCTCCACTCCTTTCTCTCCTTCCTCTCCAGCAGACTTCTCTTCCTGCTCTTTCGTGTATGGGGTGGTGCTCTTTCCTCCTCGCGTGTCAACCATGGTGAAAGGTGCACAACTAAATGACGGTCCCACACCTCACCACTTACCTTGCCCCTGACTAACTTAGATGATTGACCGACTCTCTAAGGACCAAAGAATCCTTTGGGACCCTGTCAACTATGGTCTCTAGCCTGAATCTACTACTAAGTTGTCACTACAGGACTTACTACTGATCAGGAGGCATTTAAGGAGATCCTACGCAACTCATGAATTATTTACTGTCGCAAACAGGACGACGCGATTAGCAAGTCCGCTCAAGACCTAGACATCTCGTTGTGCAGCCCACAACTCGGATTTTGGGCCTGCCATGCGACAGTGAGCAGCCCGCTGGTCTGTACCGGTCCTTGGGAGGGTTTATCCTCTAGGTCAATCAGTCGTTAAACACGACATTTGTCCCTACTCAGCCGTGTGGGTTTGGTCAACGCAACTCTATGACCTCAATGCAGAAAGAAGAGACAAACAAAGTACCATGGGGTGTGTGCACATCCATAGGGCGAGGGGATATGCGGAAGGCTTGGCCAGAGTATACCAACTCCAGCTTGGTTAAACTTTGTGGTTAACAGCTCCGGTGAACGCCCTGGTCAACACCTCGATCAATGTTGGTCAACATCTTGGTCAGTGCCTCGGTCAATGCTGCTCAAGGCTCAGGTCAACTTGGTCAACGCTGGTCAACGATGGTAAACATCTGGTCAACGTTGGTAAACTCTTTTGTCAATGTTGGCTATGGCTGCCAACCCTCCCTCTCTCATCTTCTTCCACCTTCTTCTTACCTTAGCCATGGCTTCTTTCTCATCCCTCGCTTTTTTCTTCTTCACCCCTCCTTCGTCTCTCTTTCCTTCTTTTTAACTTATCCTCTGCTGGTTCGTCTTCCTCTTTTTCTTCGTATATTCGAGCTCGGCGGCTATGGCCGCAACCTCCTTTCTTGACCGCACAACCAATCTTGTATTGCTCCTCTCTCTCTCTCTCTCTCTCTCTCTCTCTCTCTCTCTCTCTCTCTCTCTCTCTCTCTCTCTCTCTCTTCGTCGTTGTCTTCTTTGCACGTACGCAGCACCTTGCTTCGTCGGCGCAGCTATGGAGGACCCTCCTTCGACAACGCACTTTTGCTATGGCGAGTGGAATAGCGGGAACCAGCTCCGATACCAATGCAATCAGACTCACTTCTTTTCACTTCACATGCATGCAAACAGATAGCAAATTGCTCTGGCGCAGAGCGCCCACACAACTCAGAGACAAACTTGCATCAGAATGGCTACGACAATTGCACGCCTTCACTTCACTTATCAACTCAAAATTTACACCCTTTGTTTACACACTCTCTGAATCTCCCTAGATATCCCGCACGCTCACACATATTGTGCTTCAGACACACCTCTCTACTCACTAAAACATCTAAGCTATGGCGGCTATGGCCGCTTACTAACACTAGCTCCAGATGCTATCTCCTTCCTTAAGCCCATTTGACTTCGGGCAACTACAGACCATCTTGCACAAGTGGCCTTGGCAGCGCTTCCGCATGGCTTACGCAGTAATGAATGAATTGCTGGACGCTACCTCTTGATTTATACTTTTGTTGGTCACTGGTCGGCCTTATTCCACCGGGCCCTTGGTGCACATAGTCCCTCATGGTACCTGCTGATTGGACAAAGTGCGATTGGGATTGGGTAGTGCTGACTTGACACAGTTGGACTGCCCACTTGCCCACCTGCCTTTGGTCTAACGTGAGCAAACACTCGAAAGGCCACTTCCGAACCTTTCAGAAGTTTGTAGACTTTGCCTTTCGGGATTGTAGCAGCTACGACCTCTACACAGTTGTGACCCCTACTTGACAGACCTACAAATCGAACCCGTACAACTACACAGATCTACGACAGACAACTGTCAACTACCAAAACACAAGTCACAAGTTCAAAGTACACGGGTGTGGAAGGTCTAGGGATCAAGCCCTGGTATCTGCATCTTTTACTACTAAAGTGAAAAACCGTTTCACCAGGCCCCGCCTGCTTTTTTCCAAATGAATCTGAGGCAGGCCTTGGGCCAGACACAGGGCGTGGACTGAACACAGCTCGCTGGCAGTTGGACACGGGTAACCACCCCAGGCCCTGCGTGATATTCCCTGGGTCAAGGTCTCATTCACTTGGGGCCTACCAGAAGCTTCTGGCCAGGGGCTTAGTGCAGCCAGACAACTCACGACAGGCAGGCCACTTTGATAAAAGAAAGTGCCTCCTCAGGCGACATTCGGACATTTGCTACTTGTGCGCAAGCGCTGCTGCGCTACTGTGGCAGGCAAGCGCCCACACGCTCACGGGCGAGCAGGGCACACCCAGGCAGCCATAGCAGAGCTGGCCTGCGAGATGCTGGATGGGGTGCATGGTGTTCCTTGGGTGCACGTGGCATTTGTGTGGGGGATCGAGGTTGTGAGTGATGCGTGAGACATACCTGGTGCTCGAGGCGAACGACATTCATCGAGATTTGCTCATACTTCGGGGAGCTGTTGACGTCACCACCGACATTGTAGATAGGCTAGATAGGATCTGCCATTCGTAGTTTGGGCGCTGAGCGCCAGATAGGGAATCGACATTGGTTCATTGTTGATGATGGTGAGACTATTCCAACATTGTCACTTGTGAGCTTTTGCTGTGCTCTTATTTGGTGGAACTGGAGTTGCAATTCTGCTTTTGGTTCGAGCTCACGACTATCTGGTTTCATGTGTATGATGCTGCTTGGTTTTTGGAATTCGCTATCGCTCATTTTCCTTGCATTTTGGTATCGGAGTTGTGGTACGTTGCGCTAATCTGGCGCTCCTCTTCTGCCTACGTGGTACATGCACGCGGTCAGCTGGGTGAGCGACCGTGGGAAGTCCGTAGTGAGGAGGGCGAAGGCAAGCAGGCGACGTAGGCGGAGGGGGGTATCGCCAGGAAGGCTACGAGGTGATATTGGGTGTTGGGCGGTGTGACGAAAACTATCTGATGTGCGATTGATGCTTAGGTGGAACGGTGGTGTAATGCTGGTTGTGCTGAAGCAATGATTGGTCATCACAATCGACGTCAGGTCATCTGGTGAGAATATATGTGGTTGGGGGCAGCTATTTTGAGGTACGTTGCTCTTAACCTTATCTACCCGCTGCGACACTTCTTGCCGTGAGGATGTGTGTTCTGTCTTGAGAGTCCTCTCATGTGAGGAGTTGAGTGTGCTCAACCTTGAGAGTCCGCATTGTTCACGTGGAGCATCAGGAAGGAGAGGGCGGAGCTATCTAAAGGTCCTTGGACGAAGCACTGGGTCACGGGCACCATGCCAACCCATCGGGAGTAGAGCCCGCATGCTGCTTTGTCCTTTGTTTGACTGCTGCGCTGTAGATGGGTTATGAGGGGCAGGCCAACTCTAAAGGGGAGACGAGTACCGAACTTTTGTAAACAAGTATCGGCGGGGTACTTTGCATTGGCTGTGATCGTCGTCCTGTTTGCGACGTTAAATAATTCTTGAGGACCTCGGGGCCTGTTCTTAAACTGCCTCTTGATCAGCCAATCGATCGGTGTAAGGCTCGCTGCACGCGAGGGTAAACATGGTGCAGGGCTGGCCGGCTCAGCATTGACTCGGGGCACAGGGGTGGGCCGTGTGCACACCTTTAGACACGCACGCTATTTGGACTGCTCAGAAATGCTGACGTCAAGTGACAATCAAGAAGAACTGAGGGAGGGGTAGATTTCAGGTGATAAGTTCGGGAATAATTCCAATGTGCAAACACCCATTGAAACAATTTTATTTTCATTTTTGATTTGTTAGATGTTCAACCATTAACATGTGACAGACAACATAGGTAGAACTTATGGTTTTGGTCATTTGCTTTCTGTTTGCGGACTAGTCAAGTAAGATAGTTTCTTTTGTAGGAATCTGGACTTAGGACCCAATTGTGTAGACTTTGACATTGCCAGCGATTAATCATTTTTATTTATTTTAAATTGGTCTGAGCACTACGCTGCGGTAGGCAACTGAGTGTGTCCTAGTGCAGAAACTGTACAATTATGTAGCTTATGAGCGATAGGGAGAACCCTGACCCGGACGATAGGATCCTACGTTCGTCAAGACGCCTGTTGGTACGCTCAGCGTTGGGACCAGAGGGTGAGCGGTTGCTGTTCTGCCAACTTAGGGAGAGGCAGCAGCAGCAGCGGAAAGCTAGGGATGCAGAGGCAAGCAGAGCCTTTGCAAGCGAGGCAGCTACTTCAGCAGCCATGACAACCGTTGAGCATCTAAGTTCCCAGGCCAGTAGTTCAGGAACTGTTGGGGCGATGGTCGCACATAACCTAAGTCAGTTTGCTGGCCTCAACATTTAGTATAGGATGTCGCTAGACAAAGAGCAAGTGCTCATGAGGCACAGTTACAAACGTCGTTAGATGAGATACAAGGAGAGAAAGAAAGGATGATCAGACGAAGGTCAAGGCTGCAACGAAGACAAGCGGACATCAGGGAGTTAGAGGAGATGGACCTGACTAATGTGGATGACGATGTGAGGACCGTGAGGACAACCCTGTTAGATGTAGTGGAGATGCAAGACTACCACACGCCACTCTTGCAGGACATCTTGCGGAGCCTTGCCGTGCTGGTCGGACAAGTTTAGGCCGTACCATCACCATCAAGGCCCGATGCCTGGCCCGTACTATAACCTCTTCTTTTTGTCCCACAGGTGATTGGAGTAACCCCATTTGCAGTCTCTCCAACTTCGGTGCAAGCCGCTTCCCTACTAGGTATGCCTTCGACAGGCGGGTTACCAGCAGGTCCTAGTGTACAGGTTCCTGTTCAGACAATGTTTTCCCAACCTCCGTTGCAGACTGCCGTAACTGGGCAGTTTGCTGTCTCGGAGCCAGCACAGCCGCATGGCACACAACCCCAACAGGAGCTAGTGCAGCAGCCTGCACCCCAAGGTCCACAACCTGGAGTAGTGCAGGCACCGGGACATGGACAGTGGGTTCCCAAGACTGCCATTGCTTTGCCTGAACCCTTCTCAAGAGATAAGAGGGGTGAGGACCTCTACACATGTGAAATGCAAGTTGACCTTGCCGCACGAGGAAGTGCTTGTGGCTGCCTCATACCTGGAGGGGAGTGCAACAAGGTGGATAAGTGGGTACGTACACCCAGAAATTGGATGATTTCCTCAAGCTGGTAGAGGAAAGGTGGAATGATCCACATGAGGCTCAAAAGGCC